CCCACACAGACACACACACGCACGCACGCACGCACGCACGCACGCACGCACGCACGCACGCACATAAGGTGTTAATTATATTTTTATATAATAAAAAAAGGATGGAAGAAGTCTATTATATATAACATTTTTTTTATTTTTTCATTGTTAATAAACGTAACTTAGAGTATATTTCCTTCTCTTTTATTAAAACCACTTCTCGCATTCACTTCCCTCTAATACCTGAAGTCGCATGAGGTCCAGTCCCGGGTCAAAAGGATTAAGTTCCTTGACGCAAAAAGTAGGACCGACGTTTGCACTGTCCATCGGAATAGGTGTCATAGCGTTCCTTCGGACGTTGACCCATATTCCGGGACCGAAAAGGTGCGTATGACTCACAGGTGTTCGCCTCCGCGCGTATACCTGTGAGATTGAGTCTAACCGTCTTTCCATTCCCTCTCCATTCTCCCTCATTGTCTCCTTGATCAAATTTCCAAGGGTTTGGACGTAACAAAATTATATTTCCAAAACTCTCAGAATGCGACTTCGATGAAAGTCGCCATGTACTATATTTAAAGCTATTAAGAATGAAAATGGGTACTAGCACCTGATTATGGCGCGATTTTAAAGATTTCAAATACTTGAACAGCAATGATAATGAAGAGTTACTCAAAATAGGACATCACTACTTGAAAAAACAGAATTTTTTCTGTAGGAAACAGCTTCATTTTACTAATTCCACTTTCAATTTAAAAAAAAATCTAGAAAGATATATAAACAAATCACAAAATTTCTTCCTTTTACAGTTACTAAACTAGTTGAATTAAAAATCTAAAACTTTCCACAATAGATTGCAATTCTCAAACACAACAATCAGTAAATTTCATCAAAATCCGGAACATTTTTGGAAATAGGTGGTTCATTTTTATATGGAATATTCTATATGTATACTTATGTGCGAAACAGTTAATTAATTCTTTTATTACAGGTTAAAGCAAATGAAACAATGAATTTCGTCAATAGAGACATAGAAATTAAAATATTTGAAATTAATAAAAAAAGAGAGAGTCTCATTAAGAAAGTTGAACATATGATCGCAGCCGGAGAACTGTCAGTTAATAATATAAGACAAAAGATGCAGAAAACACAGATGGAAATTAACCAACAGAAGGAAATATCGTATGATATATTATCTAATAACGAGGAAAAGGTATGAAAATGTTAACTTTTAATATTTTAAATAACGCAAGATCAAGCCAAGTTTGTTAGCAGCACCAAATTTTTTTACATAAAAAATTTTTCTATTTATTAAATACCACTTGAATTTTATTCTTTAAAAATAGTTATACAACATTAGTGTATTAACGAAATGTATTTTCTGTTTATAAATAGCGCAATTTAAAGATTTCACATATTTTTGAAAAAAATTATTATTACTTTAATAGTTTGGAAAATAAATTTGTGTGTAGAATAGATTTGGGATCAAAAATCATTTTTTTCTTCGCTAAGGTGCACACATACAAACATGTATACTTGGCATCTTTCTTTTACTTTTTTGTAAAAAAGGTAAAATTTTAGAAAATATCTTGAATTTTAGAAAATATCTAACGTGGTTCTAATATTAAATCATATAAAAAATAAGAGCATAAAAAACCACAGCACAAGTTATAGTTTGTGATATATAATTATTATTACATTAATTAAAACATTAAACGTTTCGGCCACAATCTGGCCATCTTCAGTAATTCAATGATATTCTTAAAACGCAGAGTTACATCTAGTTGACATTAAATTCAACAGTCGAGAGTTGTAATTAAATAAACATGTTCTTATGTATGTGAAGATGCTTCATGCAGTAATGTTACACTGTCAATTGTCATATCAAGAAAAGTGTAGAACAAGAATTTCCAGATTCTAAATAAAATTGTATATATTAAAATCTTCTAGTCGGAATATAAAGAAATAGAATCATTCCCTGTTTTTCAGCAAAAAAACCAAACGATGAATCTCGAATATTTCTTTTACACAGTTAGAATTTTGTCGTGACATTATGTGTTGTTATTTGTCCTATCACATATTTTACCATTATTTATATATCTGAGTCAAAATTTTTAGAAAGTTCTAGAATTGTTTATTAACAGAAAGAGACATCCTTTTTTAGAAGAGGAAAATAAACCTCAGGCAAACCTTCCGTGTCACTTTGCTTATTGATACCACTTGTTTGTCTTTTTATATGTATCATTTCCGAAATTCTTCTTTTCGCTAAAGATTGTTCTCTATCTAAAATTCTTATATTATCCCAATCTAATTCATGCATCTCATTCATACGGTGACGTGAAACCACAGAAATTTCGGAAGAAGGTTTTCTTATATCAGCCTTATGTTCTTTAATCCGAGTTTTTAATTTCCTTTTGGTTTGGCCAACATAAGACGATTCACAGTTTAAGCAATTAATTTTATAAA